CTCCCGCAGCTGCCCCCGACGCGGCCCCCGCCACGGCCCCCACCGTGGCTCCCGTCGCCACGGCCCCCGGCACTGCGGCCGCACCCCTCACCGGTGTGGTCACTCGGGCTCGGACTGGGACGCTGTGTCGCAGCACGCGCTACCCGTCGGACGAGTACGCGTGCGCGACTTCTACCTCGACACCGTCCCTGCTTCCCACCTCCGCTCGCATAGCCCTTCGGGATCCGAACTGGCTAGCTGCGATGCGTGAGGAGTTTGACGCCCTACAGCGCAACCGCACATGGCAGCTTGTCCCGCGGCCACCCCGTGCCAATGTCATCACTGGCAAGTGGGTCTTCCGCCACAAGACTCGCCCCGACGGTTCTCTCGAGCGCTACAAGGCGCGTTGGGTGGTCCGCGGCTTTCGCCAGCGCGCCGGCATGGACTTCACCGACACCTTCGCCCCGGTTGTCAAACCGGGCACGATTCGCGCTGTTCTCCAGCTTGCTGTTTCTCACGCTTGGCCTGTTCACCAGCTCGACGTGTCTAATGCTTTCTTGCATGGTCATCTCGACGAGTAGGTGTTCTGTCAGCAGCCGACTGGTTTCGTCGACACCGCCTATCCGGACCACATGTGCTTGCTCTCCCGTTCTCTATACGGTTTGAAGCAGGCGCCTCGGGCCTGGTACCAGCGGATCGCGGCCTTCCTCCAGCAGCAGGGGTTCCGGTCCACATGGTCCGATGCCTCCCTGTTTGTCTACCACCAGGGCCCCGCCACCGCGTACCTCCTACTGTACATCGACCACATCATCCTGACTGCGTCCTCGCCAGCACTTCTTCAGCAGATCACAACTCGCCTCGGCACAGAGTTCGCCCTCAAGAACTTGGGGGCTCTCCACTACTTCCTCGGCATCGAGGTCATGCGCCGGGCTACTGGCTTCTTCCTGCACCAGCAGAAGTACGCCTACGAGCTTCTGGAGCGAGCGGGCATGCTTAACTGCAAGCCTGCTTCCACGCCTATTGATACGAAGGCTAAGGTGTCCACCGTCGAGGGCTCTCCGGCGTCCGACGCTCCCTTCTACCGCTCCATCGTCGGTGCGCTTCAGTACCTCACACTGACGCGTTCGGACATTCAGTATGTTGTCCAGCAGGTGTGCCTTCACATGCACGCTCCTCGTGACACCCATTGGGCTCTCTTGAAACGTATACTTCGATACATACGTGGCACCACAGCCATGGGTCTCGCCCAGACGGCCTCGCCGGACACCAGCCTTGTCGCCTACTCTGACGCCGACTGGGCTGGGTGTCCCGACACTCGACGCTCCACTTCCGGCTACTGTGTCTACCTCGGGCCCTCTCTGATTTCGTGGTCGTCTAAACGACAACCCACGGTCTCACGATCGAGCGCCGAGGCCGAGTATTGGGCCGTAGCCAACGCCGTCGCGGAGTGTTCATGGCTACGGCAGCTACTTCAGGAGTTGCTATGTGAGGTCACCAAGGCGACGCTCGTCTATAGCGATAACGTCTCCGCGGTGTACCTCGCTGCCAACCCTGTCCATCACCGACGGACGAAGCACATCGAGCTCGACATCCACTTCGTCCGGGAGCACGTTGCACTTGGTCGTGTTCGTGTTCTACATGTGCCCACCGATCAGCAGTTCGCTGATGTGACGATGAAGGGACTACCCACCTCGACTTTCGAGGGCTTTCGGTCCAGTCTTTGCGTCACCGGCGACGCTTCGACTGCGGGGGGTGTTGAACATGTGTACATGTACGTAGGTCTGGGTCCTGTATGCCGTACCTGTTGTATCTGTCTCCCTCTGTATGTACGTGTATCTTAGGAGGCAAGATACTGGTCGCACCCCTTGTACCTATATATATGTGCCTAGTGCACAATCAATCAATCATCGATGCACCAAATCTTTCTCTACACATTCATCCCGTCAAACCTCACCCGTGTTCCAGGCCTTCTTTTAATCCAAAATTGATTCCACTACGCACACAGAGGTAACTCGTCAGTTTTTTTTTTCAAAATCCAGTGCTAATCAAGCTTTTGCAGCATGTAACTCAGTTTCATAGGAGTATAATACAAAAGCATGCATGGTTCTGCACCAGATAAGACAAATGTAAGGAATCAGGCATTGACGGCAGTACCCTGCATAGGGGTGATCTAATGGGAAGTATGATTTTTAGGCAGACTACATTGGCTTTTAGATCAACCTGTTGGGGTCACCAACTGAGTCTGAACAAATTATTGTTCCTTCCTTTCTATGACATGTCCAGTACCTCTTGATAAATCTTTCAGTATTTTGTTACAACTTACAACAGCATTTGTTACAATACGGAATCATCTATTTTGTTACAACTTACAACCGCATTTGTTACAACAAAGAGTTTTCAACCGCTACGCGAGAGATTTATCTATCTACTGGAGTACAACGCAATTCAAACAGTTGCAGCCACAACCGCAGGACTTGGACGAGGAGTCGCCGGTGCATAAATACCTAGCGGCCAGGGGCCATAATTAATTAATATCAGAGCTCCATTGCCTCCAACACCACCACGACCCCGGAGTCCCGATCGACGACGGAGCACGTACCGCTCTTCTCGGCGATGTCGTCGTCGCCTTCCTCGGCCCATTGGCTCGGCCTCGTCGGGACCATCTGGCTGCAGACCATCAACGGCCCCAACTCCGACTTCCCCGTCTACTCGTCGCAGCTCAAGGAGCTCAAGGGCATCTCCCAGGTGCAGCTCAACTTCCTAGCGTTCGCCTCCGACGCTGGCAAGCTCTTCGGCTGGTTCTCCGGCGTGGCCGCGCTCTACGTGCCGCTCCCGCTCGTCGCCTTCGTCGGCGCGTGCTTCGGCCTCGTCGGCTACGGCGTCCAGTACCTCTTGGTGGACAGCCCAGGGCTCAAGTTCTGGCACCTGTTCCTGCTCACCGCCCTCGCCGGGAACGGCATCTGCTGGATCAACACCGTCTGCTTCCTGCTCAGCGTCAAGAACTTCGCGTCCAGGAGCCGCGTCGCCGTCAGCCTCGCCACCAGCTACCTCGGCCTCAGCGCCAAGGTGTACACCAGCCTGGCCGAGACCATGCCCCGCCTGGCCGACTCCAAGGCCAAGACGTACCTCCTCCTCAATGCCGTGGTGCCGGTGATCGTCACCGTGTTCGTGGCGCCGGCCCTCAGGCTGTTCGACCTCAAGAGCGACTCCATGTCGAGCACGGACACGGCATTCCTCGTCATGTTCGCGATCACGCTCGCCACAGGGGCGTGCGCCGTGGTCGGCAGCATCGGCTCCACGGCCAGCTGGTTGTCCTCCAGGGAGCAGATGGTGAGCCTCAGCGTGCTGCTGGCCGTCCCCATACTGATACCGGTGGCGCTCAAGATGAACAAGATCGGGGAGGCGAAGCGCGAGAAGGATGACGCCGTGGTCGTGATCGAGGTGACGGACTTGGAGACCACCGCCGCCGAGGAGGAGGTCGGAGGCCTCCAGCTGCTCAAGAAGCCGGACTTCTGGCTATACTTCTTCAGCTATATGTTCAGCGGCACCCTGGGCCTGGTGTTCCTCAACAATCTGGGTCAGATTGCCGAGTCGCGAGGTCTCGGCCGGACTTCCACTCTGGTCTCCCTGTCGTCTTCCTTCGGCTTCTTCGGTCGCCTCCTCCCGTCCTTCATGGACTACTACTCTGCAAAGTAAGCAATTAACCGTTCTTAATTTCCACACACTTGCATGATTTGATTAATGTTTATTTTCGTCTTTGAGGTCTTATTGGAGTCTCCAGGATATATTCATGGGGTCCTTTTAATAAATGGGAAACTTGTACTAACTATAAACAACTTCATGGGGTCCTTTTGTCCATGCAATTTAATTTACTTGTTTCCAGAAGCAGAAGAAACGGAAACAGCAGCTAAACTGAATTTGTTGCTTTGTGGTGCAGAAGCGGCCACAGCATATCGAGGACGGGGTCCATGGCGTGCGCCTTCTTCATGTTGCTCAACCAGGGCAGCGTCTTCCTGTACGCGAGCACTGCCATCATCGGGACCTGCACGGGGGCCATGACGTCGGTGGCGGTGTCCGCGACCATCGAGCTGTTCGGCGCCAAGAACTTCGCCGTCAACCACAACGTCCTGGTGTCCAACATCCCTGTCGGCTCGCTCTGCTTCGGCTACTTCTCGGCGCTCCTGTACCAGCGGGAGGCCAGGAAGCGGGGCGCCGCCACCTGCTCCGGCGCCAGCTGCTACCAGGCAACCTTCGCCATCTGGGGCGCCAGCTGCGTCGTCGGCACGCTGCTCTGCGTCGTCCTCTACGTCCGGTCGCGCAGCAGGTTACTTAGCTAACTTCCTAACTAGGTGCTCGTCAGAAGGCTTGACGACGGCATCGATCTGCGACGACGATAGCAAGCAACAATGGATGCCCTACGATTGTACGTACTCTAGCTATACGTGTAGAGAAAAAATTATCTGTTGGGCACATCTGTACATGTACGAGCGGTGGAGCGAAAGCTTGTAGTGGATCTTTCAAATTCCAGTAATTGGCCATAACAATTCCGAAAAGTATTTGTTCACAACTTCGTAAAGATTATGGAAAACCACCAGGCCGTATTTCTTATGATTTTATAATCGTGATCTAACCAGACGGTAGAAAAATGGTAGCGAGGCTCTGTAGATCACCAACAGTAGAGTCTAAAGCTCAAAATTAACGAAAATTCTAGAGTTTTGACAGTCATTCAGGATCTTGTCTTGACCAGGTACACAGTAGGGTTCCCATCTACAGCTTGTTTATTTACGTCGACTCGTCCCTTCCGACAATAGCATCACCAATCCGCATCACCAATAGACAGGAACTGAGCATGGCCTCACAGACATTTTACTGTCTACACACACGCATGAAGATCGGACATGCATTGCGATGCATGTGAGGAAGAGGCCGCCGTTAAAGGATGCTCAAGCAGGTAGGTCGATCGATGGATCCAGCATCGGCCTCCCTCGTGGTCCTCTCACATGCTGTTCGACTTTGATCGATGGCGTTGCAATGATACAACGCAAAGTTCAGTTCCATCTTCCTTCCCCGTGTACTTGCATGGATGGGCCGATGCCCATTTAGGCCAACTCCAGCGCACGACTCCATCATGTCCGTTCTAGTCCGTTTAGGGTAGAACGTACGAATAGCTCGACTCAACGCACGGTCTTAAATGGACAAATGTCTGATTTTCGTCCGTTTTCGATCCATTCCCGGCCAAAACATGCGTTGCGTTTGGGATGAAACGGACATCGCGTGGATGTGCGGGATGCACGCCCTTGTCCTCCCGGTGGCCCGCCCGTCGGGGACACTAGCGCTTCATTCAACTCCAACGCCTCCACCCGTCCTCCACGTGCCCACCCCGCCGCCAGCGCCGCCCCTATTTTTCGGTCGCTTCCTCGTTGCTCACCCCCGGCTATCCATACCAAACCACGTCCGCAAGGTGTTTGACACTTTGCCACAAAGGTATGGACAGTGGAGATGATTTTTTCTTCAAGCACTTCATTTATTCGTCGGATGATTCGTCCTCGGATGGCGAAGATCTTGTGATGGCTGCACTGGTCGTTCACGACCACATTGAACAACAGCGGCCTCAGTACAGGGGGTCAGTCCCTGGCCGTGCTCCCAACCTGAACCGCAATAGAGAGAGATGCCACACCCTGCTCTATGTTGATTACTTTGAGAATACCACGCTCTTCAAACCGGAGTAATTCCGTCGCCGTTTTCGTATGGTAAGGCATGTGTTCAATCGTATCCAAGAGGGAGTGATTGCTCATGACTCATTCTTTGAGTGCAAAACGGATGCCCTTGGCAAGCTTGAATTCTCCTCTTATTAGAAATGCACCACGGTCATCCGCATGCTTGCATATGGAATTCCAGGCGATCTGGTGGATGTGTACATGCGCATGAGTAAGTCCACATGTCTGCTGTCAATGTACAACTTCTGCAAGACCGTGGTGGCAGTGTTTGGCCCTGAGTACTTGAGGCAGCCAAATGCGGCTGATACAGAAAGGCTGTTGGCGATCAACGCCAAAAGAGGCTTTTCCAGGCATGCTTGACGGCATAGATTGTATGCACTGGGAGTGGAAGAACTATCAATTTGCTTGGCAGGGCGAGTACAAGGGGCATGTTAAAGCGTGCACTGTCATATTCGAAGCGGTGGCTTCGCAAAATCTTTGGATATGGCATTCTTTCTTCGGCATGGCAGGTTCTCGCAATGATATCAACGTGCTGCAGCGTTCTCTAGTCTTCGCAAGGCTTCCAGAGGCCACTCCCCACCTGTCAACTTTGAGATCAATGGCCACCACTACAACAAGGGATACTACCTAGTTGATGGTATATATCCTCAGTGGTCAACTTTTATGAAGACAATCTCGAAACCCCAAGGTGAGAAGAGACAGAGATTTGCCCAAATGCAAGAGAGTGCTAGAAAAGGATGTGGAACGTGCTTTTGGTGTGCTTCAATCCCGATGGGGTATCGTTCGAAACCCTGCATTGACATGGGATGAAGGGAAACTTTGGGAGGTGATGACTGCTTGTGTGATCATGCACAACATGATAATCGAGGACGAGCATGATAACAACATCTTCGACCAAGGATTTGATTTTCAAGGTGAAAATGTTGAGCCCCTGCACCAAGAACCGGCCATGTTTGAACAGTTTACCCAATCTCATCGTGAACTGCGTGATCGCACTAGTAGAAAAAGGGCCTTCTGTCCCGGTTGGTAAGGGCCTTTTGTCCCGGTTGTTGAACCGGGACTAAAGGGTCGTTACTAATGCCCTAGCCCTTTAGTCCCGGTTCTTACACGAACCGGGACAGATGGGCCTCCACGTGGCCGGTGTGGCGAGTCCAGGCAGGAGGGCCTTTGGTCCCGGTTGGTGGCACCAACCGGGACCAATAGGCATTCACGCTTCAGCATTTCAGGGGCTGGGGTTTTTATTTTTTAGGGGGGTCGGGGTTGGGGGTTTTGGGGGGTTAATTTAGGTGTTTCATATATTGTGTTAGCTAGCTAATTAATTAATAGAGAGAAGTGTCCTCTTTTATCTCCGTGCTTGGTTGACGCTACGTACTATATACGTATAGAGAGGACTAGACACACTAGCTAGTAAGCAAATGAAGGAAACAGAGGATCATCATGAACATATGCATACAGAGAGAAGTGATATCGACCACCTCTCCTTCTCCGAGAGATTGGTCGAACAACAAGTTCTCGTATATCTATCCGACACTACCGGCTACATATATACAATAATTATCTCTTACAATATAATCTCCTAATTATATATGAACACAGGGTCCACATAGTATTCTCCGTCTTCAACGATCACGTGGTCAAGAAAGAATGCCGCCAATTCCTCTTGAATTGCTCCGGTGGTAGGAGTTCATCCCGCATCCGAAAGAGCTAATTTGAAAAAGGGGGTCAATACATACATACATACATATTGCTTACGCATTTCATATTGTTCGTCGGAGTACCCCATTTACAGGTCGTGTGGCGGATGGAGTCGCAAACGTAGTATCCACAGAAATCATTCCCTTGTTCCTGCCACAACCACTTTACAAGAAATAGAGGTCAATCAAACTGATAAGCAAGCATGCCATAAATGGTATTGATGAAACTAGCGCTTGAATCACTAGGAGATGCACGGAACATGCTAGTAGTACTTACTTTCGGGTGTCTAAATTGCAGCTTCTTCGGCAGTCCCGGAGCTTTTTTGGTGAATTTTCTTCAAACCCTGCCAGACAAAGAAACAATTACTTGATATCAGGAAATGAACAAAGTTGCTGATATGGTGGATAATGATCGAATTAACTTACTTCTCAAGCATTTGAGTCATGTCCGCATAGACTTGGGGATCTTTTCGTCTCGAGTCTAAGACGGTTACTAGTCCCTGCTCAAGCTTAATCTCTAGGAGAATATAGTGGAACCTGCGCACGCATGCATAACTCATCAATTACATTACTATAACCTGGACTAATAAGGGAAACCGAATATGCACAAGATAGTAACACTCACTTGAAGTTGTAAGGAAAGAGTATTATATCTTTGTTTTCATTTATTACCAACGATCGTAGCAAGTTGGCCTCGGTATCTTTGGCATGAAATTCAACCTTAGTTGCATCTATGAGATTTGTGTTAATGAACCCAATATCACCAATTTATCTTTTTTTCAATTCGGCAATCTTCAATCTGCATATAGTGAGGATAATTATAAATACTTGCAATGAAAGAGCTGACCTATATAGAGAGACTTAATGACAGAAGTAGTACTACTTACAGACAGTAGCAAGTGACCGTAGATTTATCGAGGGCCTTTTGATTGAAAAACTGGAAGAACTCCTCAAATGGAACATGCAACAGTTCAATTCCAACGAGGTCATGCTCCTCTTTAACTCTCAGCGTCAAAGTATTCCTCCCCCCAGACTCTCTGCAGGTTTTCATGTACCAATCATGCAATCTTCGCATCATCTTTGTTAGAGATTTTTCATCTTTGACGAGAGGCTTCCCGTACTCGTATCTGTGTTCGTCCACCTCCAAGAAATCATAATGTACATCGTCGGGCTGGTAATCTCCAAGATTGCTATAACCGGGCACCATCCTCGGATCATCATCGTTGCTAGACACCTTGAGCGGGGGGCACGATTGGTTCGCTTATTCACCAAGCTGGGCAATTTTTTTCCCAGCTCGTCGTTCTTTTAACCTTTGATCACTGACAGTACTTCCCGACCGCTCTGCTTCGACCCATGTCTTTGCAATAATGCGCTCATAGTTGCCTTTCAGCGGAGACTTTGGTGGTTTTGTCAGGGCAGCCAGAGTGCGCTTCGCTTTCACCGGATCTACCTTCTCCTCCAGAGGTGGATGTTTCTTTGCTTTCACCCCTTCAAATAAGTTCATCACTTCGTCTCACACGATCTTCGCGGTTTCCTCCTCGGTCCTCTTGTATGGTAACTTCTCTGGAGTCTTCAGAGAAGGACCGAATCTGTATTGCCTCCCGCCTCTGGCTGTATTGCTAGACGCTGGCAGAGCAGGCGGAGTGGCTGTAGCTGTCTTCTTTCCTTACTTACGAGGCGGAGGAGAAGGACTACGATGCGCCGGAGCAGCCAGAGCGGTGGCGGGTCTCTTCCGCCCTTGCTGACGAGGCGGAAAAGGAGGAGGCTGGCTGCTCGGGCGTGCCGGCGCAGGCGGAGAAGGAGGCGGAGTGCCACCATGCGCCGGAGAAGGAGGCTGAGTGCCCTGATCACTCGCCGGAGGAGGAGCCGGAGGAGGAGGCGGAGTGCCATTACTCGCCGGAGGAGGAGGAGGAGGCGGAGGCGTCC